GTTGGGGGGTTTCGGCCTTGCAGCCGCCAACGCCCCAGAAATTGCACCTCTTGAACACGGGAAACTCCGAAAGCTGCAAACCTAGAAGCCAGGAAAGCTCCGTACATTACCCCAAACCCTAAACCCGAAACCGCGCCAGGGTGGTACGGATGTGAGCTAGAGATCTTTTGAAGGCTCTGAAGGGCATCACAAGCTCACGCCTCCGATCTTCAGCGAGAATAGGAAGCTCCGTTGTCCGTTGTTGTTGTGATTTCTATTAGGCTTAGGGTTTAGGATGTTCTAGGGGTTTAGGACTGACTTGAAGTTATTTTCATTTTGTGGTGTAGGGTTCTAACTGTCTTGGCGGGGTTACGTATTCGGGCTCACAGACTTCCAAGTTCTCCCACTCCCTGAGCCCGGAGACCGATCACTAGACGAGCCCCACGGTTTAGGCCTTAGGGTTTAGGGTTTAGGCCGCGTCCTCTGCCGCCGCCGCAAGTTCGGCGGCTGGCTAGTTGAAGCCTCAAATACTCATTGCTACGATGTTCTGGGACATTGCATGTGACCCGGAAAGTTTTCCAACTCTTCGTAAGGTCTGCACATACCCCTACTTAAAGGTTCATTGGGACTTAGTAAGTAGGCTTGTAAACAGGCTAACCAACTAAGGTACTTAGAACTGTACTTGCTAAGTCCAACGAACCTCCGAGTATACATAACCCTAAACCCTAAACCCTAAGCCGAGCCTCTACAACCCCAATTGGGCAAAGCAAGATCGACAAAACCGGGACCCGAAGTGAGCCTCTGCAACTGCGTCTGGGTTTCTCCGTTCCCCGCTCGAAGGTAAGCCGCAACACTCTTTGTTGGAGATCCCTGCAAAAGAACCCCCCCAAAAAAAACGGGAAAATCGACTAACAATGTAACCACGAGCCTTATAGTTCTCCCTGAACCCTAAACCCTAACCTGAGTTTTCTCAGAGCGTCTGCATGCAAGAATCCTCGGGGCCACGGTGGTTCCCTAGACCCCACATGAATTGAACTACCGAGCAACACAACTTCTCTAGAATGCATCCCGGATCCCTTGACTTGATTCCTCTCATCTCTCTTCCAAGAACCTTAGACCACAAAAATCCTAAACCCCTAAACCCTAAACCCCTAAACCCCTAAACCTCAAAACCCAAGTTGAGGGCTCAGGGCCTGATTTTCTAGACCCCGCGAGCTTGAGCTCTCGGCGTACGCCCGAAACCCTACGCGAAGAAACCCCAAAAAAAAACGCGAGGCCTGCGCAGCAGCCTCCGCCCTCTGCGCCTGTGAGCTACGGTCTTTAGGGTTTGGGGTTTTGGGGTTTTGGGGTTTAGGGTTTATATGGTATAGGGCTTTAGGGTTTGGGGTTTAGGGGTTTAGAGGTTTAGGGTTTGTAGGGTATAAGGCTTTAGGGTTTGGGGTTTGTTGTCTTCGCGCAGTTAAAGGCTAAGTTGGAAGCTTTAGGGCTCTGGTGTTTATTTAGGGCTTATAGGGCTGAGGGTTTAAGGTTTATTTTTTTAAGGGCTTATAGGGCTTGGGTTTTAGGGTATATAGGGCTTCGCGGCTTAGGGTTTAGAGGGCTTACATGCGGGTTTAAGGCTTCAGGGTTTAAGGTGTAGTCCAGGCTCCGCTTCACGATGTCAGGGCTTAATTGTCCAGTATCCTAGCGGAACTAATGGATAACCTTTACGGTGACATAGGGGTTATGGTACCCCGATTTATTGGATTATATAGGGACCCTTCAGATACTTATTATCATTGCCGGAAGGGTATAGTAATGGAAAATACCTATAGTATCCATTGTAGTTCCTTTTTTTGGTTTAAACAATTTTGCTATAAGGATCCTTAAAGGTAACCCCAAAAAGGAACTACAATGGAGACTATAGGTATAGTTTTAGGGGAAAGGAAAGTATAACATCAGTCGGCCTCAAGGCGCCGGACGGCATCTTGCACCACGGAGTCCTGATGTTTAGGCTTTAGGCGGTTTAGGGTTTAGGGTTTAGGGGCTTTAGGGGGTTTAGGGTTGGTTTGTAGGGTTTGAGGATCATGGGTAGGTTGTGACTTTACGGTTCAGGTATGTTGATACCTCTGGCGGGGCGTGTCGTGCTGAAGAAATGCCCGAACAGGGATTTGAGTCTACCCCTCAGGATCGCGGATACAGGTCTGGAGGTGTCCGGTGTTGCCAATGAAACTGAGTACTCCAAAGACCCGCTTCAAAAGAACAAACAAAAACACACCAAACTCTAAAACCACATCGGTCCTGCTCTGGTGCTTCCTCCTCCTCACCTTCGTCATCTGACAGGATGCCGTAGCCTGGACAGGCCGAAGAACAACTACAAAGTCGTGGCTTCGTTCAGGGCTCCTTTCAGGCCTCCTTTGAGGGTTCCTTTGAGGCCTCCTTTAGGGGCTTCTGTGGGAGCATTCAGGAGTTGCGGCTCGAAAGATTCAAGGTCCACCAAGAGCTTAACTTGAGGCCTCGGGTTGGGATCAATAGGGTTCTAGCTGATTCTGGCTCTTTGGGGCTGTATCTGTATACCTGGATTTTGTAAAGTGACCCTATACCAGTACGTGGAACTTAGTTTCATTACAGTCAGACAGTCATAGAGCCTAGCCCCTCGTTCAAAACATCCACGACCAAAGGGATGTCGTCATATTCGCCATGCTGTAGCTACTGTCAACAAGGCAGCCTCGTGCCACCTGGCATCCGACATGTAGGCAAGATCAATTACATTCCGGACGAAGGAACATGCAGTCACAGTTATGGTTCGCGCCCTTGAGTGTTATCATTCCCGTCGGCAACTGCATCGCAGCATCCCGATTCATCTGCACACGCTCACATGCATTCAGGGACATCCTCTTGAATGAGTGCGCCTACATCTTGGCTGCCCTCACCCCCCTGGCTACAGGCTTAACTTTTTGCTTAGAAATGCCACACGCTGGATGCAAAGCACACTCTGACCACTACCCAACATGAGCATTAGCCCCGAAACTTAAGCCTTAAACAAAATTCCACAAGCCCTCAACCCTGAACCCCGAACCTGATACCTTAAACCGAAGATGCGCCGAAGGAGCTCCAAACGAAAGCCTGGGAGAATCAGAAGGCGAATCAAAATGTTTTCGTCAGCTGGTTTGCTCCGCCGTTATCGAAGAAAGTCTCAGCAGAAGACCTTTAAGATCAACCACATTGCGCGACTTCTGCGCAGCATACTCTTCGGGTGATACAGCTGCCAGGCTCAATTTGGGATGCTCAAGTTTTCCAGGCATCTCTCCTTCAAAAACGTGCAAACGCTTCTGCTTGCTACCTATCCTGAAATCGGCAACAGCCATCTTCAGTGCTGCTGCATGCTCTGCATGGGTTGCACAAAACTGTTCAGACAGATAA